CCCAGCCCCAAACTGCCAGCCACACCAGGGCTACACACAGAGGCAGGTTCCACCTCTGGGCCCCAGGAATGAGCAGGCCCCTCGGGATGCAGGCCTGGGTGTGCTCACAGGTCACCCGTCTGTCACGGGGCCCAGGCCTTCCCGCCACCCCCGCCCCGGAGGTGAGGAAAGAGAAGTGCAAGGCCACAGGAAGCACTCACCACTTTGAGCTCCGGGACAGACCGACTTAATGTCCATTCCTGGCTGTTCACAAAGGCATCTGAAACACAGGAAGGTAACAGAGAGTTAGTGCTCTGAGTGGCTGCCGTGTGCTGTCAAAGGGCCCCAGCGTGCCACTTGTCACACACAAGGTCACTGCAGCCGGCGCAGGCCAACCGCCTCCTGTCACCTCACCCCAGAGAAACTGCGAGTTGCCTGAGTTCACAGGGCGACTCCGATTCCTAGTCTGCGTCCTGTCCCCTGAACCTTCAGGCACATGCCGCCGGGCACACGGCTCCCCGGCTCCCGTCCAGGGCCGGGGAGAAGCTTGTGAGTGCGCATGCGTGCAAGTGTGACGCTCAGGGGGCTCCCGGTTTTCCCAGGAATGACCCTCAGCCAGCCGGTCAACTTTTGGTCTTTTGGTTTTTCATTAAAATAGTCACTTGTCTGAAATCACACCAATCAAGTTATGGCAGATAATGATGACAGGATTTTGAAAATCCAAATGTTCACAATACAGCATTTTATGGTTTAGAGTTTTGTTGGAGTTTTGTTCCACACAAACATATTAGACACTGAAGATCCTGTCAGGACACTTTACGATGTCAGAAAGAGGAGGGGTCCCCGGCCATGGGGGGGGGGTCCTCTGCAGAGCGCAGCCCCCACTCTGGTCCGTACACTCGGGTGGGCGACCCTGGCCGGCGGTCTCTGCCTCTCACCCCGTGTGTGCAGGTGGACGTGGACCCACTCGACATAGATGACCCAATGCCCCACGCATGCCACTTCTCATCAAGGGGACCCCGTGACACCAGGGTGGCAGCTGCGGCAGCCACGAGTGGACAGCAAACAACTCTCCTGCCAAATGGGACCCACTTTCTCTGTATTTTCCACAAATTCAGGAATTTCATCCCTCTACATTATGTCCCCGCACAAGTAAGTGACCCACAGAATGCCTAAAAGTCAGGAAACGCCATCAGTTTCACACAGATGCGTGGTGTTTGGGTGGACGGCTGCGGAAATGGTAACCAGCCCCAGGGCCGTGCAGTTCCCTGGGGTAGGACGAGGGAGGCCGAGAAATGTGGAGGGAGGCGAACGCGACCCGCAGCGACACGGAAATGGGCGGTAGCCAAGTCACAAAGCGGCCGCCGCTGGCCCTGCAAAGACGGAGGCAGAGGCCTGCCCGTGCCGGGGTGGGACGGCCCATCAGAGGAAGGCTCTGGTGCGGAAGGACAGGACGGGATGACGGGTCAGGAGGACGCGGTCGCCTCAGCAGGGGGACGAGATGCAAGGTGGACAGAGACACCTCGGGTACCCTGAAACCTTCGCTGAAAGAGTGGGGGTCAGTGCTCAGCATCACAGGCTGGATTCTGGGGAACCAAGTGCCCAGCCCGGTGGACAGAGGTGCACCTGTGGGAGCTCAGAAGACATTCGCAAAACTAAAGATCAAGAGCTGCTGCCCCCACTGAAGAGCGCACATTAGGGCTAAACATGGAGTGCCCATGAGGCTGTGCACCTGAACACCCTCTCTGGTCAGCCAGGCACTGCCCTAACATGCCACAGGCATGTTAGGCATTACCTGCAACATGTGTTGCATTACCTGCAAACACACACATGTGGCTGGCACAGCAGGGGGCCTGACCAACAGTAAGTAACAAAGTTACCAGTGAACAGCATCACTAAGTTGCAAAACACTTATTTCCTGTCATCAACTGCTCTCTCGGGAGCATGAGAATGTGGCTTACAGGACCTGTGGAGTGACCCCAATGGTCTGGGGAAGACAGGAGAGTGACCGTGACCCCCTCGACATGAAGTGCACACACCAAGATGTCACAGAAGGTCACCCTGTCACTGTACGTATAACACACCCAACACTGGTTACACACTGTGGACACATCCACATAACTGAATCCTGAGGAGCCAAAACAAGAACACCTGAAGCCTCAACATGCAGAGCCGGTGACAACTATCCCCACGTTACAGTGGTAAGTCTGTGTGTGTGTGTGTGTACACGTGCACATGTGTATAAAATACACACATGAGCTGGTCCAGGCTGAGAACATTCCAGGTAGAGCTAAAAACTTAGCAGTTGCTGATGTGGGTTAGGGAGCCAGGTGGCCGAGGAATGGAGGTAACGAGGAGGCTTTCTTTTCTTTGTTCTCTTTCGGTACCTTTCAAGTTTTATACTATCTAGCAGGTAAAAACCTTAATACAGTTTTTAATACGTAGTGAAACAAAACGGGGAATTACATGAGCTCAATTCATTAAGGCAATGCCAATTTTTAAATGCACACCGCCAAAAGATGATGTTTATCACAACAAATATTAAATGTTCCTTATAAATTAAGCAGGCTCCATTAAACAAGGACGCCTGATTATACAAACACTGGAAGCATGTGTGCTGCCTTTTCACATGCAAAAATATTTCCTTACTCAAATAGAACACATTTGTGTTCATGGCAACTAGATAAATACAATAAATGCTTGGCATAACTGTTCAAAAAAACTTCATCTTCCATTCAAAGCCATTTATTTTAAAAACGCTCACTACCTCCGTCATTGCCCCGGTCAGAAAGGAATGCTGGCCTCAGACAAGGCTAAATGAAAAACGACGAAAGATTAGCAGACGACATCCATCGCAGGACACTCCTTTATCCAACTCTTCTATCGGGGCCTCTCTGTGGGCTGGACACGATGCTAAATCGAGTCACGGGGATGGATGAGGCGCAGCCCATGCCTGGAAGAGTTCATCGCAGGGTGAAGGGGACGGGGGCCAGGCCAGGCTGGCTGCCCTGTTTCACGTTCACGGGCGCAGCCACACATGAAGAATAAACACGCTTCGGAACCCACCTGGGAGTGAGAGTGTGTGCGCGTGCACGTGTGCGCGTCCCCGCACCAGTGGGAATCAGAGGCCACAGAAGATGGGTCCTACTTCAGAAGAGACCATCCATCCTGTGTCCCACTCAACTCCCCGGCTTGGAGCACAGCAGTCAGCAGGTGCTTTCTATTCGCTGGCCCAACGCCACTGAACTAGACATTAACGTCAAACATGGCCGGCCACCGCCGACGGCGTCCGGTCTGTCAGTGACACTGTGGCTCTGTCAGCTGTCCCCACCGCAGGCCAGCAGGGCCCCGCCCAGGCTGCTGGTGCCGTGCGGGGAGTCCTCACACAGTTTAGGAAAAGAAGCTACTTAATCATTTCTTACCATTAACGTGGCACCGCTTCAAATGGCATTCTATTGTGTAGTTTGAAATAATACAAAAAAGAAACTCTCAAGGGTCAGGGAACATCAAGTAATAAGGAACTTTCATCAGGAATAAAACCCCCCAAGCTACTGGCTTCTTGGACAGGAATCTGAAGGCGTTCAGAGGAAACACAGGCCCCTGCAGGCAATGGTCAAAACAGACGCGCAGGGACGGTACTTGAGAACACGGGGGTGGCGACTGGAAGACGTGGACAACCGGCCACTGCACACGGGGTTGGCAAGGAAAAGACGGCCCAGCCCACAGGGGTTCTTCGCCCTACTTACGGGAGTCGGTGACCAAAGCCTCTGAAGTGTAAGGGAGATGCGCCTGCCCCCACTGTCACTGCTAAGGGCCCGCCGCTCACGCCCATGGGGCATTATCATTACTTGGGGTAAGAAAGGGAATTCTAAATAACGAAATGCGGATGGCGGCGGCAGCCTTCCTAACCTAAGCCTGCGCTAACCTCAAGTCCAGCGAGCCCCAGCATGTGGGCAAGCTTTGTGACCACACCAACACCACCATCCTGACGTGGGGTCAAGCCTGACCAGGACGGCACTTGCAAGTGTTTGGACAAAGGGTGCCGAGCAACGAGAAAAGTGAACTTCCAAATATCTGGGTCATCAACGTCCGGGGTCTTTAGCAGGTTTTGTTTGTTTGCTTTTGCTGACCTATTTTTATCATCACCTTTCATTAGTTTTAAGTCTTTTTAAGTATGCAATTACATAAAAGTGAGCGGACGCTGTGTGTGGGCCTCACCCCGGCACTGGCAGTGACTCCAGGCTGGGAAGGACAGCTGAGACGTGGACATGTTCACAACACAGCGTTTCACGCCCATTTTGGTCTCTCACGCTCTTGACTGAACAGGT